GTTAAGAGAGATTTTTGATGCATTGTTTCTAAGCAAATTCAGACGGGGAATTGAAGAAAGATATTTGACATAGGGAGATTTTCAACTCAAGAGAGGTTCGAGTTATTGAGGCTCAACTGTACATACACGCTTGATTTCCTCCCAATAAATTTAAAATTGAACTTAATTTGTTCTGTTCTACACCCATATCGGTACATACTTGAACCCCGGCATCCCTAAGCTTTTGAACAGCAATCAGATGAGGAGAGGAGACAGGAAATTCGACGAATTCCACTTCTGTTCTGGCACACTGTTCTTTGTACGGTCCGAGGAGGCAATACTGATCTCCAAGCTCTTCAGCAGTCACCGGCGCCTTCGATCTGATCACGGTGTAGATTCCACCCACTAGAGGACAAGTCAATCCAAGAAAAATCCGAATGCAAGATTAAATTTGCTCAAGATACGGAGTGAAATTTGATTAAAAATTGATGACAAATAGTATGCTGACACCAATCACGAAAGCAGAGCAAAGCACATATTGGCCGACATCGACCAGCCGATTTTCGCCATTTTGTTCGATACGCAATCGGTTCTCGATAACGTCAAAAATGTTCATTATTTCATACACTTCGCGCTTCTTTTCTACAGTGTGGCACGCAAAAACTCACGATTTTCACCATGGACTATAATACCGTAGTTCTTTCCTTTTTTCCATTTGGTTGCTTTTGGTTTTGTTGGTAAATCTATCAGTACACACCTAAAGAACATGATTAGCTTAATTCGACCTGCTCTTCAGATTTTTTGGCGCAATAAGTAAGTTTACAGTAGGTTAGTTTGACCTCAGGTTTAGCCGAATAAATTAGGTTAGTCACATCATCACATGTAAGGCATTCAATTTGGTGGGAATTTAAATTAGTTTGCTACACGTAAACTTGGTAAAAGGTAGTTCAGTCAATCTCGGTTAACACTTCCATTAGTTCGTCAATGTGGTGTAGGGTTCAGTAACTTCCGCGTAAGACTTTGTCAAGGTTTGTGAAAGGTGTAGTCACAGTTAGCGCAAGGTGTAGTCCCGGTTTGTACAGGGCGAAGTCACGATTTGTGCACGAATACTGTAAACAGAACAGTATCCGCTTGAAGAAAGGTACTATTTTTACTTTTGGTGGAGGTCACTTTATTTTTTTTTACAACGGAACCTCGATAATTCGAACCTCCTCAAGTCGAATACCTCCTCATGTCGAATGTTTAAGTCCGCAGCTAAATTCACCTAAAATCAATGAATGAAAACCTTCCCCACAGGCTTTCCCCATCAAACCTGCATTACTCGGGTTTTATGAAGGCCTTTTGACAATTATCTTATTGACAGAGGAGATGGAAAAGCAATGAAAATTTAACTTAATGAGTTTTGAAATGAGTACCTTACCGTCAAGTTCAGCATCCTTTCAACTCATTTAAGAAGCAATTCAAGGTCTACCACCAATTACGATTTCCTGTGATTCTTTTTTTCTCCAACTCGATATTTTTGCTGGTCCCTTGAAGTTCGACTGCACAGTATAAGGTTGCACGAAATCACTCAGACATAATGTTAAATTAGTCAAGCATAACTTAGGATTATTTGGAGTAATTTTTGCGACGATTACGCAAGGAAAACATCGAAGTGGCGCGGCTATCTGGAAAAGTAAGTACTCGAACCTTCCTGAAAAAATAAAATAAAATCCCAGGCACAATATCTGTGATTTGTAAGAATAACTTACGCATAAAAAGCAAAATCGTATCTTACTAGGCATTTGAAGGAAGATTGGAATCGTTTCGACTAATAAGAATACTGCCATACAACCATAAGCGGATCGCAAGTTAACAACCCCACGAAACTCTAAACATCAATCATACAAGGCTGAAAATAAAACAAACTATTTAACGGAATTAAGCATTCGAAGGCACGTTTTCTACGACCCTGGAAGGCGTGTCTCCGCGAACATACCTGTTAACCTTGAATAAGAGACAGCTGACGTTTTATTCTTCCTACATTAAAAAGGGGTATGCAAAGTGTGTCCAAACGACGTCTCAACAACATATACATACAGTACACATATTCAAAAGAAAGCGCTAAAATCGCTGGCAATCGCGAGAGATGCACAGCGAAGTAATTATAAAGCGAATAATACCATTCCTTCGAGAACTATGGACAAAGTACTACTCGTAAACATTTGAAAAAAAAAAAATCAATCTTGTGATCATCAAATCTTTTTCTTTCTCGAACATACCAACAAGCTCCGCGGATTTCACTCTAAGATACCCGTAATCCGACCAAATCAACTCTTCGACATCTCGCTAGCTAGCTGGCTAGAAGACTCAAGCAAAATTAAATCTAACTGAAGTAATCCAGTCAAGTATTGAACTAACGTAATCTAGCACCTAACCCATGCAACCTAGCACCAAGCCAAAATCAACGCAACTTGAAACCAAGACTTGATTCAATATCAAGTAACCCACTGGCATTGACCCAATTCAACATATTCATGAGTCTGACCTCGTTAAGTACTCGTGTCAAATCTCAACATATTTACTCCGAAACTTCATATTCTAAGATTCTGTCCATCACGGCGCGCGTAGGACTTGAATGCATTTTCCCCCGAAAATATTTCGTAAACATTTCAAGAAATACGCAAATAATAATACCCGTGATTACTAATGCAAAACGCGTTCCAGAACAAGCGTTCGTACATAAACAAACCTTTTTGAAGCGTTTAAGATACCAAAGAATGTTCCACGAATCACGGCGGAAGTTCGGGACCAAAAGGTTTGCCCACCCACGGGGAGCAGCAATTCACTAGGTTCGCCAGGAAACTTACGCAGCGACGACAGGATTAAGGCGACGAGTAACTGGAGAAAATATCTACAGTATCGCATCCTGAATCCGACGACTGGCGCCAGACTCCTGATAAACCGCAAACATTGCATATAGTATTTCAATAATCTGAGAGTACGGCAACAGCGTAACTGACAGACAGGAAACTTTGTACGCGTCAGCCGAAGTAATGCAAAGAGCCCTATCAAGTAAATTTGAATTTTTTGGACTATGTCACCTAATGTAACCCATTCGAAGAAATCAAGTACAGTATTTAGCGTTGAATTTAGATCAGTGTTACCAACCTTCTTTTGGTCCACAGACCGTTTAATTAGGGTTACTTTTTTGGCGGACCAGCAGACATTTTTTCATACATGCAAAAGTCCTGCTTAAAGCAATTTTTTAATTGAAAGGTGTCGAAATGATTTACAGTATAACAAACTTCACAGAATTTTTAGAAGTCTCCGAAATCACGATAACAGGACCCAATTTCACAAGAAAAAACCACAATAAACAAAGGCTATTGAAATTTTACATTTTTTCCACGTAATATCAAAAGTGCTCCGGCACTGATGTTTGAATCTCTTCCTGGATTTAAAAATGTGTCCTGATCGTACGAAAAATTCTACGGAGAAATTTCCACATCTTAAAATTGATGCACTGTAAGATGCCTGAAAATTGCTCACGGGGAATTATTGCATAATGATTTTTTCAGGAAAAATTAAGAATAACAAGGAGAAAAATATTGCACAATGAAAAATGCAATTGAAAACATGATAACTGTACTGGGAATATAAGATAGGCTAAAATGTAGAGCATGAAACCAGTTTTAATTTTATTTTTGCATTTTTCCATCTGTGTCTCTCGTCAATAACATGGGCACGGTCGAGACTTCAGTAGTTTCTGTGTACTCATCCTTTGTCTTCCATCAACAATTTTCTCGCGGACCGGCAAAAAAGTTCTGCGGACCGACGTCAGTCCGCGGACCAGGGGTTGGGGAACACTGATCCAGATCAGTGTGTTCAAGGAATTACACACCACTCCTAAATTTTACAGACATTTTGTAGGAAAATAAAATTCATTACTGGGCAAAATTTCGGAGACGAACGCAGTTAATAAATGTAGAAGACTTCAAAATATTTTGCGTTTCCTGTATAACATACGGTACTATTGATTACATGGGCTCCTTGAAAAGCTCATGCAATACAGAAATGTACAACTACTGGACTACACCTGTGAATCATGTTATCCTGTAACACTCGTATATTTTTTCACCTTCAAGCTTTTACATTTGCCAAGCACAGGCTACACAAGAGTTCACTCCTTTCATCTCCATTCTATCTTCAGAGCTTATTCTTGCGTAAGTGACGCGGCCTATAATCGTGTAATACAGTACAATATTTCAATTTTGATGAACATACCTTTGTTTGCAACTTCCCACGCCACTTCGAACACCCACTGATTTGAAACGCGGGCCACTTCGCCATGATCAAAGAAAGCAAGATCTTTCGTGCTGTCTACGCGATAAAAACGCTTTGACAGTCGAGACATAACTCGAACCTCGACGAAAAGAAACACAAGATCTAGACATAAAACTCCATCGGTTCAATATAAGGTGAAGGTTTGAAAACGAGGAGAAAAATCGGTGTGCCGGAGCAATGAAATCCACGTGTAACGTGCTCAACAGCACGTACTCCGTAAACCAACGTCGGGTAATAAGAAACATTCAAATTAGCACGAAAATATTCAGTTAACGAAATCTGCTAGCTTTCACGGCCTTGAAATGGAAACTAATAATGTTTCAATTCAAGTTCCATGAAAATTTACAAAATATTCAGAGGGAAACGGAAACTCAGACACATCGCAGAACGTAGTAAGAATTCCACAATATAACCCTCCAAGAGATTTTTCCTGAATTAACCCTGTACAATCTCAACAATAAATAACGCGCGAATTATTTGCTTCGTCAGAGCTCGTCCAATTGAAAAAAGGAAAAAAAAAAACGATCCGAAAGTATCTTCCCCACAAAGAGGACGCATTAAATTAAGCGATTCGAGGAAGGAAGGATTTTACAGTACAGTTAATCCAACTAGCTCGATAAGGTAGTTGAAGTCCAAATGCACGTTCAAGCGACATCACTTCGCCGACTTCACGCTTTCCGAGCAGAGGTGCGTACGTCACGTTTGTCTCGCGCTCCTACTCACGACAGACAACGCGAGGTTCACGACTCTTGACTGTCTGTGTGAGTTGAAACCGGATTCGCCCGTCACAGCTAAACTTGACTTTAAACAACCGAAGAAATGACTGGAAACCACACAGCTCGTTTAATTTCCAAAACTAAGAGGATATGCCGAGTATTTCTAGGGGAAAAGACAAACGTTCATGCGGGCAGGATCTGAAAGAACGAGCACTAGCCCACGAATGGTGATGATTTACCATCACGATCTCCGCAATAATCCACAGACAAAATATTAAACCTGTCGGCATCGAATCTCGAGGGCAACTCACCACACCGTCAAATTGCAAGCAGTCGACCTTCAGCCAGTCGAGTGAAACGATGCGTGATTACGTTGCAGCTAGTAGACTAATGGCGTTTTGGTGGTAGTCCTGTCGGCGGGTATCGAAGACTCCTGTTTAAATTCGTCAAAAATGAGCTGTTGTCTCTGTTAAACTTATTTTGAAAACGATATGTTCTGTGGTCTCCAATATTAATGAAAGTATTCCAAGATAATATTCAATCAAGCTCTGCTTATCAGTCAACAGTATGATTGTTTTCGTCAAGCATGCTTGCGAAGTTTCCCAATACTGTACTGTACTGTACGAAGCGTTCCGAGCAATTCGACGCTCACCACCTGGCTGTCGTGATTCTTAGTTGATGGAAAGTGTGCGTTAGATAGATTATGGCAAGCTGATACTGTACTGCGAATTGCGGAATTTACGGAATGACTTGAGATTTTGGAAATAGGAGTGATGTGGTAAACACGACATTTAAATCAGTTATGTAAATTGTGTAGAGGTTTTCCTCTGGGCAATACTCCTTATATTTCGTTAACAAATTCGCTATTTCTTTAAGGATCACATGGATTTTGTTTAAGTAGCATTTCAGAAAAATATATGATTGTACAATATTTACGACGAAATTTAATGATATCGATGACTATTGGTGCATTTGAAGAACTGTGCTGTGATCGTGAGAAGTGCCATGTAATATTAAAGCACTTTTCGAAAGTGGTTCGCGGTAGGCGCGTCTGTCGAGATGTATTTTCGATGAAGTGTTCGTAGTTTTTCCCACAGATTGAAGCTGTTGCATTGAACGTGAGCCAGTTATAGTGCGAGTAATATTTTCTGGCTTGCGTTAATCAGCGCCATTTTTCCGTACAGAAATAATTGCCTGACGAATGTGACATGGTTCTTGTCGTTGGCGAATACCTAATGCGAGAGGCATAGTGTCGCATCTGAGGAATGCGGTATCCTTCGTAGACATGACTCCGCGATAGTCTTCGTGTTATGTCAAAATTTAGCCTGGATCCATTCGAAAGTTCATCGAGCCATGGCAACATTACAACCGAATCAACCGCCCACTGCGGGGAACGAAGCTCGGCAGCCAACACCCAATCCCGTACCTGTTGGGGCACGTCCTGCAGCTGCCACTGTTCGAGATAGAATCTTTCATGCTATATTTTTCCGTGTGGCCTGTCAATATGCTCAAGTCATGCCCAAATCTATGCGTAGATTTGTAGAATTTTTTGTTCTGATGAAGGTATTACTTGGCTGATGTGAAAGTGTTCGCATGGTCTTATCGTGTCGTTTTGTTTACAGGCATTGTTCCTACTCTCCATGCTTGCGTATATGCACATCATATTTTCAAGATCTCCGACGAACTGCCTAGATCATATCAAAGATACGTGGCCAAGAGATGGGATTCTTCGAGTAGAAATTGCAATTCCTCCCGGTGAGTTACGGTGATGCTAGTGTGGATGGTGACCAGAAAAATGTGCGTGGACAAAAATAACCAGAACAAAAGTACACTAACGAATAGGAATGAGGAGAAAAGCGTCCATGATCAGTTATTTAATCGGCTGCATTTTTTGTGCTTTTGAAATCTATAATCGAGCAGTTCATGGTTTTGTAGCTAGGTGGGTTACTATTCGTTGAAGGGTTGCTTCGTGCCTGATGAATAGTCAACCTGTCAGGCTAAGACACAAATCCAACTCGAGCTTTAACCCAGCTACTTGATTTTTAACCATACTACTCAATCTTTTGTGAAAAAGGTTCGTTTTCATCGATTTACAAGACCATGTAATTATGTAATTATAGTCTAGATTTTCAAGACCATGTAATAATTATGTGTAATTATTATGTAATCAAGACCATGTAAGAAAATATGAGACGTAAATGCGATCCATGGAAAAAATTCATCGATTTGATTTTTTTCGTTTTATGCGTGGATGCTTTTTTCCTTTTTGCTTTTTGTTCGGGTGCAAATCTTCCGACCTTGCGTGATTTTAAATGGTCAGCTTGAAGAACTTGGTCTGTTTATGGTTTCGGAAGACTCGCCTTTTAGCCTCGTGGCGATCTTGCCGACGTGAACATTTTGCGCAGTGGTTTTATCGTCGCATTTCTTCCTCCCCCCCTCCAGGTCCAAAGAGTGACATTCCCGTTCGAACCGACGAAATTCGCGTACCAGACGAGGTACTCGCGGGAAAATCAAAGCACGATTTAGCAACACTTCTAGGTCACAGGAGCTCTGGAGTGACCGTATCAGATGTATGCCCTGCTCGAAATGTGATGAATGATTCTATTGGAATAGGCCAGGATGCCAATCATGATGTAGCTAAGGTGCGCTCGTCGAAACCAGTAACTAACGGTATTCCTGGCGCCAAGTCATTTCTGGAGACAATTTTAGGAATAAGCATCAATTCCGGTGAGCATGACGTGGATTTTTCTGCTGTGGTACAGTACTAAGATTTGTTTTCATCTCAGTTAATCTTATATTCTAGGAGTCCAGCATTGTTTTAGCTTTGTTTAACCTTTAACTCAGTGTTGCATTTTTAGGTTGAGCTTATTTGTTGAATTTTTATATTGCTTACCTGTTAGCTTTTTCGTGGACAGTGAGTTTGAGTTGATGAGTGTGATGTTATGTAAAGATGTAATACTGCTTTGATGGTTGGGATGTTGAGGATTTCTGAACCGAATAGCTCATCAACATGACGGCTGTGATTCTGTGTCAAAAAAAAACTTCTTGCGCGTTGTGGATTGCGAATAATTTCTAGAGGATTTTTTGATGGTTTATCGGAAAGATGCACGAAAATGTATCGGACGTGATGAACTAATGCAGTGCCATTATGTATAGATGCTGATTCTTATGAAGGAAATAATTTCGAATCCGACTCCGATGACCCTGAGAGCAGTGCTTTCGGTGAGTGGTGTGAATGTTCTTTAAGGAGTCTTTACAGTATATCCTCATAGAGATCAATAACTTAATTTTTTTAGAGGGCTACGTTGTTGAATACTCGTTGGAGTATGGATTTCTACGACTACCAGCATCAGTTCGCAAACGACTGGGCATTCCTGTGATGGTGGCGCGGCTGAATCCGCGTGAAGATGCTTGTTTTGGAGATCAGCTGTCGAAATGGATTCTTGAAAGGCTTCTAGGTTACGATGACGTCTTGATGGCATCAGTGAAATCAATCGCCGAGGGAGAAAATAGTAAAGGATATGTCAGGTATGTATCATCGCTGAAATTTCATTTGTTCTGTAAGTTTGTTCTGTAAGAATGTTGGCTGGATGGTGATACAAAGTTCCTATTAATTTAAAAAGATATTAGACACTTCATTCAGTTATCGGTCATGATGCACAATTGAGTACGCTGTCTTCAATCTGATCTGAATATGCCCCTGCATTTATTTGTCACTCTTGGTTTTTTTGGATTCATCCGAATGTGCGTCGGAAGTGGCGTATTTTCAGAGGACTTTTCTATGTTCGTAATCTGGAAACTTTCAAGAATTTTCTGTGATTTTTGTGAATTTCGGTTTCCCGCGTAAAATTCGTTAACAGAAGACTTAGCCTGAAATTGCAAAATTGTTCACCTGACCTGTTCAAATCCTGAGAGTTTGGAGTGCCTAAAATTGTTTCTTACCCATTTCCAGGAATGTTGTCACTGGAGAGCACTTCAGATTTGTTTCCACGTGGGTTACGCAGACCTCTTACTTAGCAGCAGCAATCATCATGATATTATTTGTGAGTAGCGCAATTGAAATATCCCGAATTTATCCGAACAGTGCGCATAAAATGATATTTCCTCAGACTTTGGGAATTTCTATGCTTCTGCGCTATTCGCATCATCAGATTTTTGTCTTCATTGGTGAGAAAATCTGATAGATTTTTCTTTATATTGGATTTTTCTTTACGCAGTATTTTTGATGCCAAATGAATATTTTTTCCAGTTGATTTGTTGAACATGTTGGAATTCAACGTGTCGATCAGCTTTCCTGCAGCTCCTCTTTTCACGGTCATTTTAGCCCTCGTCGGTAAGTGGATATGCGATTATATTCAAGATTTGAATTGAAGGAAGATTTCATTTGTTAGGAATGGAAGCTATCATGTCTGAGTTCTTCAACGACACTTCAACTGCATTTTACATCATCCTGATAGTCTGGATGGCAGATCAGTACGATGCTATTTGTTGCCACGCTGCGATTACTAAGCGTCATTGGCTTAGGTCAGTGTTATAAAAAAATCTCTTGTGAAATGAGACGATTTGCAGAAAATGTATCGTATTTTTATCTGTTACAGGTTTTTCTACCTGTACCATTTTGCTTTCTACGCATACCACTACCGTTACAATGGCCTATATTCGGGGTTGGCGTTGGTTACCTCATGGTTTTTCATCCAGGTGAGGGAATTGTTTCAGTACATGATAGTTCAAAGTCTCCGCTTACTCCGATCGATGAAGATTACTGATTTGGTTCCCAATTTTCTCGGTTCGCAAAATGGGAGTAGTAAAGGCTCTTCGTTTCTCTCTTTCTTCGAATGAAATACAGTGTTGCACTCCTTTCTTTTGCTCGTTTTAAAAATGAATAACGCCGAATATTGCACTATTGAATGGGATTTTTCGGCGTATATTTTCTGGACTTCGGTGAATAGTGATAGCAGCGTGTCTAGTCAGATAAATGTAAATGACCAAGAAAACAATTTCCGTAATGCAGTGACCAGGGGTGTCCTATTTACCGTGAAGTCGAACTTGAAGCACTTCTGCACTGTAATTCATGCGAAAAGAGCAGTTGGAATGATAAAATCGTTGACCGGATTTGAGACTGTCGAGTGTGAACATCTGGGACTTTTTAGAAGATATCTGTGCTCGAATGTAACTCAGAATTTTACTCATGCGTCCTCTATTTGCGCTTCATAATCGTTAATCATTTTCATGTTGAATTAAGGATGAAGAAGTGGTATTCTCAGTTGAAGATCGAAAGCGTGCTGAAGAATTCTGAAAAGGCTGCGATTTTGGATTAATAGAACTAGAAAACTTCTCGAATTGGTTCTAAAAGAATTCCGTATCAGTTTAAAAATTGACACAAATTAAAGAAATACAGGTCATTTTTTCTAAGAACTGCCTGCGGAAATCGGACATCCATTTCATGATCAAATGGTGAACGACTGCTATACTGTAATTGGTTCTAAATTACATTTTTTGCAGTCCACGTGCGTTCAAGTGTGTACCTTCAAGCTGAAAATGATTTTTGTTTTACCCGAATCTCGTTTGAAATTTCTGTGTAAACTGGCGTCTACTCTATGACTGAAAGTGTTTTTTCTTACATTAAAAATTTTAGCATTCGATGCTGTACTTTTTCCATCATTACGAGCTGCCCCTCATACTTCAACACGTGCGATTCGCCGAAATGGTCCGTTCTGGACTGTCGCCGAATAGTGCATCAGCTAGTGGTGCCGCTGCAGTTGCAGCAGCTGCATCATTATCGGCCAGCACGCAGGCAAATGAAGAAAATTCGGCTTTGGGGCGTCCATTGTGGAGAAGGTTCATCGCCCATCACCGAGGCAGAGTTGTCAACGCGAGGGTCGTCGGAACACCAGGTTAGAATGAATTACTCGCTGGTGATTTACGAGGGATGTTTGAGACAGTTTCGCCGCTACAATGGAATATTTTAAGAGGCTTTTCTTACTAATTGAAAACATATTCCAGTTTTATTATTTTATGAAGTAGTTTACCTCATTTTCGTGCATTTCAGTAGAATCGCTACCGACGTCCGTGTAATTCTTCAAACCGTGAATCCCATTTCAAAAATATGGCGGAAAATTGAGCCTCACCAGAGCGTCATTTTTGTACCCGACCCTTGAAAATCCCCCAAACCACTGAATGACAATCTTCAATTTCAAACCTGATTTTTAGAAATTCTATCCAGCGTTTGCGTTGTAGTTGTGCCTTGAGTGACGTTCACATTGAGCATTACTGAGACGAAAATTCCTCAGAATCAGGAAATTGTTCGCCTTTACCCATTGTGCTCTGTATATTGGCAGTATTTTCGAAGTTTTGTAACAATTAATTGCACATGAAACTTGAATCATGGAAGTCGTCTAGACCTGCACTTGTGCGAACCTTTCTGTTTATAGTTGGTAACGTTTTCTTTTCGCTTCCTCTTCTCAGTTTAGCCTTGGTGAGGTAAAGATGGAAGAGAAGCACTTGGTATTTACCGTGTATCGATTAACCATACATTTTCATCGATCTTCATGATTTCAGATGTTGGTGAAGGAGATTTTCAAAATTTGTGAATTAACCGTCGCAAATCCTAATGAAAGTTTAGCGTTTTGATTGTGTTTGCTGACGTATTACCACATTTGTCAGCTGCAATTGTGTTTTTCTGAATTTATGTTCGAAAGTTAAATTTTCAAAATCAAGATAGGGCAATTCACTTCACGGCTCGATCACGCCGTTATTGACTCATCAATGATTAACTGTATTCTCATCCATTGTGGATAGCGGAATATTTTAACACGGGCAACGAAGTCTTGTTGAAGTTTTGAGGAACAAAAATTTGTTGTTGAAACTCACATTTCGATCACTGAACTCCCTTCAGATTGAAAAGACTGCTTCAATTTTTGCCAAGGATCTATAGAGAAACTCGAGTTCGAATTATTGATATTTTTCATAGCCGTCGTTGAAGTTCAGGCGATGCAAGAGGATGTGGAAGTCGTTGTGCCTGAGCCGCCATCCCCGACTAATGTAACCGAGTCGGCTGTTCCGAGGCATGAAGCTGCTGCACCCAGTCCAGTACCAGCGGCGCCGTCGCCGCCTTCGTCGTCACCATCATCATCATCTCAAGACAAGGAGCCCGTAGACTCTGGTGGTACAGGAGTCCACGACTCTGCCTCCTGAATCCCAAGGATTCGCGATTCCTTGCATTCGGGATGTTGTAGCAGTTTGAGAAGATGAACGGGAGATCACCGGGCGCGAGAATAAAAGAGGAAGAAAGCTTGAGCAAGTAGTGACGAATGAGCCACTTTTTTTGCTCTGCCATCGGGTTTCCGATAATTTTTTTATATTTTGGGGAAGAGGGTAAATCCAGTAAATGTTTAGCTGGTAATTTTAACATTCGTTTTTCTCGTTGTGTCTGGTTCTGTGACGCGGCTGATACATTGTTTTTCAACGTCTCGGAATTTGGCCACATTCTCTTCTCTTTTAATTTGTAGTCGAAATTTCTTGCGGATTGGACGTTTGCGAGGAGGAAATGAAATACCCGGATAATAATCAGATGACGTGGTCAAAAACTTCGCTTAGGTATTTGAAAGAACGCATTTAAGCCGATCATGAAGCATGCTTGGCTAAGTAGGGAGACATTCACTTCGTTCGAAGGCTTAATTGCGCGTGCTCTTACTTCGAGAAACATTGTATTATTTTCTTCATTTTCTTTTTTTTTCCTTGAAGAGAATCTGTCTGGAAGAATGTGATTGCCGATTTCCAAGCCTTTTGAAGCGATGAACGAAGTCGTGTCCCTTATCGTTGAGCGGATCTTCGCAGCGATTTTTGCCTGTTCATCCGGGAGTTGTGTGTGCAATCCCGAGGTTATGAGTGTTCGTCTAATCGGTTCCCATTATTCACTTGATGTGCTGAGTGTCTTTCCGATTATTTACCTTGTTCTGGTCCCGAAGAAAAGCGAGAAGGAAAGAGTGGAAGAAGAAAACATAGGCACCGATTTATTTTTGAAATGATTCTTTACCCCGGAGATTTGATTTTTGGCGTTTGAAGGAACATCGGTAACGAACGTACGAGCAAGTCACTAAGGAGACTTGAGGCAGTGAAACGTTTTCAAACATAACTGTCTTTCATAAGAATAAATAATTGTTTAAGCTGCGTGTTGCATTGAAGTCAAGGAAATTGAGGCTTTGGATTCATGATCTTCGGGATTTGGATAGAAAGGTGTACTTCGTTTTTGTAGCTGCCCGTGTGAATCCATGTGAAAATTTAATTTACAAAAACATCGCTAAAAGTGTCACTTACGATGTACGAACTTCTATTCGAAAAATGGGCAAAAACAAAGAATAGTACTGTACGGTATTTACTCGAGTACCGTGCTCACTGCAGTAGACGCGCACCCCACTTTTAGTGAGTATAAAACTGCAATAGTTTGAAAATAAGAACACCCGAATTTGAATTCAGGCATGAATTGAACCTGAATTCAACCACTTTTTTATTATTTCCATAAAAATGAGTTTTTCTGATTAAACTGGTTCAAAATTTTCAGTCATATCAATTTAATTTAAGCCCATCTGAACTTCTATAACTTTTTGAAAAATGTAATCCCGCTTATGACGCGCACCCCCTCTTTTCCTCTCAATTTTCAGAAAATAGTTGCCGTGGTACCCGAGTAAATGCGGGTGTTTGAATTGGATTTTTCATTTTCTGAACGCGTGAATGCTACGCTCATCTTAGATCTCGTACTTGTTGTGTTGCCGGTGTAACTTCAACGCATCTTGAGATGATGAATTATGAATGTGACGATGACAAAAAAACATTTCAGGATGGCTTGAGAAGAAGTGCGACAGACGTTGCGGGCGAGAATGGAAAATTAGCCGCCCGCACATTGTGACATGAGAGGGAAACGTTTTTTATTCCGAGCTGTTGCACTGGTGGCCTGTGTGATTGTGTGCACTTCATTGATTTACTTGTGGACTGAGCGTGAGCTTTCGTCTAAGGTATGCTTCTCAGATCCCCTTTCGCCACATTTTTCTTCCGTTTCTATGTACGAATTTTCTTTTCAGATAAATGTAGAGGTTTTCTATAAAAAAAAATGTCGCAGTTTTAGTGACGCTGAATGTTTTTGTATTCCAGGGAAACTTCCCGAATCCACCTGGCAGACTGCAGGAATTGGACCGGCAGTTGAAAGCTCTGGAAGAAGATGCAGCGAAACAGCGTCGTGAATCTCAGAGGCTTCTTCACATGCTCACACAGTTTGGCTTGAAAAACCGTGAGCGTTTCTTTTTGTCTCGCGCGAAACCTTTGAACTTTTCATCGTGAATTTATCAATTGCACGATAATTAATGTAGGAAAAGGGCTGAAGTATTTTTTCCGTCATACTGAAGAGCTCAACATTCGTTCTTTCCTGAGACGTTTCTTCATGACGATTTAGATGTGGACCGTGAGGAGAGTAATTTGTATCATGTTTCCCGCCGAAAGCAAGACCTCTCCTCCATCTGTGGCTTCCTAGTCGGAGATGAGAATAGCCGCAAAATTCATGAATTACGACTGGAACTTTTGTACTGAACGTTTTCTTAGTGCGAAGTACAGTATTTATTTTTATTGTTTGAAAGACTGAGACGACTGCGGTTCAGTGGAAAATAAGCTGAGTTACACGATCAGAAGAAAGGTGTACAGTATTTGAGAATCCTCGGGAAAGGTAGTCGAGATAATTGAAGGACGAGAGACTGGAAGAAAAACCTGATTTTGCTGGCGTGTCAGTTTTGTCTGAATAAATTAAAATGACAAAATTAAAAATTGCGATCAAGTTAAGGTAAGAGTCGAAGCAGTTCCAGTTTAGTTGCAAAAACGGGTCGCACACGCTCTGTGTAGTCAGTGCAGTTGGGGAATTATTGTCGCAATCGTAAAAATCCCTAAATTATTGAAAATCACACCTTCAAAAAACTAATATTCACTGCTAATGCTGGAAGTATCCCAGCAAGTGACGGTTTCCTCGTTCTTGCCAGAAACCTTGGGATTGAGGATTCAGTGGAAAATATTTCTGTCGAAGAAAGGCGCCGCAGGGAAAGAGAATGAGATCCATTCTGGCATCATCCTCGCAGCCGAAAATGCTTCGGCCTTGTAAAACGAAAAGAACTATTCTTGGCTGTTTCCGAACTACTGTATTACTCGTGCCAGGAACACGGAAAAAATGGCATCACAACGAAAATAATTTTCTCCCGAAATAGAAAAAAAGCCAGACTGAACAGCATGCTGAGGATGACTATTGTTGCTCTTTTTTTTCTGCTCTCTCAAATGTGAATGTATCTTACTGAGATTTTCAGAGCATTTGTTTCTTCTCATTCCCCAAGCTGTGTATCCGTTTGTCTTTGTTGGAATGATGCCAGGATGTTTTCTCCAGTTCTTTCGCTGAGAAGTAAAACAGCTTATATGTACTGTAATACTTCTCGTGGGTAGGGCCATGTCATTTGTGATTCGATGTTATTTGTGGCGAGCTGCACTTCCAGCTTATAAAAAATCGCAAGGCGCGATTAAAACTCGAGTTCATAGTTCCAGCCTAGATTCGGAGCCGTTTCTGAAATTTAACAATGAGGGAAACTAAGAGCAGTTCGGGAAAACCAGTCCTGATGTTCCTTACAGTCAATGAACATTCTGGTCTCGAAATTTTTTTCCCCCGTCCATTGAATAATTTTACCAATATTTTTAGCTCAGATGATTATGAATAACGGAAATTTGTTTCAATGGTGAACTTCTTTGCTAACGTAAAGTGAGACATGTTCTTCTTTAGAACTTCAACGATTGATTGACCGCATTTATAAAATTAAAGTAAGTTTCAATTGAAATCATTTGAAACCGTGCTTCACGTAAGAGGTTGGTTTATGTGAAGTTTTCAAATTTTAAGAACAATGTTTTACCTCCATGTTTCGTCATGTGAAGACTGCCATGGGGCATGTATTTCTGCAGAAAATGTGACTGCTGCGTAAGAAGCCAGTACTGAGAAACAGAACAGTTCTTGTCAACAGCTGTAAAAATGGCTAGGCTTGAATGCTTCTGGCCAACAGTCGAGACAGTCACATGTGACATCTTCGTCCTTATCAAGAAACTTGAATATTGGGTCAATCATAAGATAAGAAACGCTGTTTCCTATATTCCGAATATTTTAGCAAAGAAATGTAAGATTGCATCCCATTATTTTCCTGGGATGTTTCTAGTAATGAGACATGGGTCCACCTTTTAGTACATATTGCGGAGGGCTCAGAGTGGTGAGCAATTAAGAATTTGACGAGCAATTCAAGTTTCAAATGTTGTTTTGAAATCGGATGGATGCTATTTTCTGCGCGAAGTGTAATTCCTACCGTTATTTCACTGGAAGAGCATCAGACCAGTATGATTATTCGTCTTGCATGTTGTCAATTATTATCTTTTACATTTTAGTTGAGATCAAACGTGAGATTTCGATCGTCGCTGCTGTTCCCGACGTGCTTGAAGCTGGTGTCCAAGGACTGCAGGTGTGTTTGAAGTTATCTTTTGAAAATTGGCTCATTTCGTCACCGGACTAGTTTCGGAATCCTTCGAAGCCGTTTTTACATTTTTCTGAAACTCTTTCGCTCACCGCTGACTCACCGTTATAACTTACTTCGGCATTCTTAAATGAGGAATTGATTTTTTTTACAAAATATGGTGAACTTGATAATCGTGAGTTAGAATGTGTAATTTGAATCTTTCTGTGCAGAAAGTATTTTGAAGGGGATACAGTAAAATCTTGTTACAGTACAACAAATACTATTACAACAAATTTTTCAATGCAACAAACTTTTTTTCAAGTCCCAGCAGAAAGCCTATAGACTACATGTTAAAAAATCTTGTTATAACAAACTTGGGAATTTGTTATAACAAACTTTTTTGACACAATTTTTTTGGTTTTTGTTGAAAACATTCGAAAAATCACTTTAAATTTGTTTGTGTTATTCACCATTGAAGCCTGAATCAAAAGAGGGCTCAATAGAGGCCCAAATGTTTCAAAATCTCCATGGGATCCACCCAGGAGAAAGAGTTTTTCCACCATTCCATGAAACTACTTCCCTGGAACACAGCAAAAATTGCATGTAGAATTGTTTGGACCCCTGGAGGTTAATCCAAACATTCTGTTTCCCATGAACTTGCAGGAAGGACTGTCAAATACAAAAAACTTTAATCCAGTAGAATAACTGCCCCAACAGCAATGACTTCCCTGGAATACATTTTTTTAAATTTACAGGATCAAACCATGAACCAAGAAGTCCACAGAATCCATCCAACCCAGGAGCAGTTCTTCAGTGTCTTCTGAAGAATTAAAATAAAGATGCACACCTAAAAGATTAAAAATTCCTCATGTATAATGCATTGTGAAAGAGGTTCCAGTACAACTTTGGACAGTGACTGCTCAACACAAATTTTGTGAACACAGAATATTTTTTTTTTACTTTTTAATTCTGGATACTGTGAAATGCTAAGAATTGTATGAAAAGGATTGCTGGTAAAATTGAAGATAAAAAATTTGGCCACACAAATTAATTGTAATTTAAAATTGCTTGTGTTTCCCACTTCAGTGCATTTTTTCATTGTTTTTTTTTCCTGTGTCTCTACCCAGCAATGCATGTCAGTTGTATGTACAGGGTTACAAAAATCAGTCAAATTTCTCAAACAAAATGTCTGCCTTGCCTCTTTATTGTGCAAAAATGTGTCAATTTTCTTATAGAAAATGAATAATCATGAAAAGAAAAAAATCAAGCAAAAATATGCATCATTTAGCTTGGATTCATGGTGTAACCCTGCAGTCATGGCAAAAATCCTTCCATACTGTTTTTCAAAATGATTTTTTGGCAGTCCACAGAATAGGGAATGAAAAACTGCAAAAAAGAAAATGTCAACAACAAACTCTTAATAAGAAGCTAAGCATTTTTGCTGCAGTTGATGGCAGCAAAAAAGAAGGTGGTGGCAAGCGAATTTGGAATTATGCCTGCAACTTTGTCAACAATTTTGAAAAATTGGTCAAAAATTAAATTGTGTGACTTCAACATGGGACCTCATTGCAAGCAAATGTGGACTGCTCCTCATGAAAACCTGGACAAGGCTGTTTTTGCATGGTTTCAAGAAGTGTCATCTAGCAACATTCCTATAAATTGACCCTTAATTCAGGAGAAAGCCAATCAGTTGGCACTTTCTTTTGACCACAAATCATTTCTAGCTAGTGTTGGATGGCTTGATTGTTTCTGTGATTGATTTTGAATTTCAGCAAAAGTGATTGTGGGGAAGAGTCAGCAGTTCTCACCACAAAAGTGAATGAGTGGTGGCTCAATGAGATGAAAAAAAGTATTGCATCTTACAGCCCGGACAGCATTTTCAATGCAGATGAAATGGACATTTTTTTTCAATTGTTACCAAATTGCACATTGGCTGTTAGAAATTATCCTTGTCATGGTACCAAAAAATCAAAGCTGAGACTGACAGCCCTCTTTTGTTGTAATGCTTCAGGGATAGATAAGTTGAATCCACTCATCATTGGAAAATCAGCAAAACCACCTTGTTTCAAGAATGTATAAGTGTGACTGGATGACCACTGCACTTTTTGTTAAATTGCTGAAGCAGGTCAACAAGGACATGAAAATTAAAAAAAGGAAAATCTTGCTTGTTTGGGACAACTGCTCAGTCCACACTATTCTTCCTTGCCTAGAAAATGTGCAAGTGGAGTATCTGCCACCAAACTGCACTGCAATTCTTCAGACTCTGGACCTGGGCATAATACAAACTGTGAGAGTTCATTACAGGAAAAATGTTTTATAGAAAATACTTGCAAACATTGCATGTGATAAAAAGGATACTGACATTGACAACAAGCAAGCAATTGAAATTATTGCTTGTGTCTGGTCAATTAAATTTTTTCTCATGCTCTGACATTGCAAGTGATGAAAAATATGATATATGGAAAAAAATGTGGATGCATTGCCAGCAGCAGTGAATAAGAATTCTTTTCAGAAGAAAATCACTGATTTTTTCAAACAATAATTTAAGTTCTTAAACTGAAAGACAAGCCTGATTCTGAATATATGCAGATTTGAGCTGAAAAAAATTGTTTCAGTCATTTTTTAGATAATCTCATTACAACAAATTATCCATTATAACAAACTTTTTCTGCAGTCCCCAAAAGTTTGTTGTAACAAAATTTTACTGTATTATGAAATTTAAATGATTAATTCTTGAATTTTAACAGCGAAACATTCGTGAAATGATTTTGAGGTGCTAACCTAGGACCAGATTTATGCTAAGTAAAAAATTGAAAATTGTATCATGCAGAAAACTGTATGTTGAAGTTTTGTGGCAATTTTCCGGTGTCTTAGCTGCGAGTTTCCGAGATTAATTTGAACAAATGCAAAAGCTGCACTTACGTCACAATCTACAGTACTTCGTTTTTAAATCATGCGTCATCATCGCGAGTCCAATTATAGATTATTCTGTATAATATTTTCTGTGCAGGTGCTGGTCAATTCTGAGAAATCAGTCCTGATAGGAAGTTCTGCACCACCGATTCCTATCGTGGTGATTGCCTGCAACAGGCCCTCGGTTTCTCGTGCTTTGGACAGACTGATCGAATTTCGGCCCAAGGGACTGGAAGATCAATTCCCGATCTACGTCAGTCAGGATTGCGGGCATGTGGAAACCGCAGAAATAATCAGAGGTTACGGTTCTCAAGTAATTCACCTGGAGGTAATGACCATGAGATTTGCCAATTTTATTTTTTTAATTTTTGCTTCATGGTCGTCAATGAGGCGCAATGTGTCGGGATTCAATTTTATAACTCCCTTGTCAAACTTGCGTAGTGACCATCTTTTCAGGAATTTTAAGGGGGTTTTGTGGGTCGAACCTTAAAGGATAGAAACTATCGAAATGTGTACTCAAACCTTGATTCAGTGCCATCGTTTGTCCTGGCACCTTTATTTTTTTGCATTCAATAAATATTTTATGAAAGAAAAATTCAGTTTAGGGTTTCTAACGTTGGCAAAATAAGCTTGTTTACAGAATTGTGAGGCTGTTCAGTCCGCTTTGTAAGAGATGTAAGCCTTGAGAAATAACTTGAAGCTGAAATGTGTTGTTTCGTAATGTATTTCAATATATTTAATCAGACGGAATAAACAGGAAATTGTCTTTACAACGAAACCATTGGGACCAGTGAAATAGCTTTGTTGTAATGAATATTTAGTTATGAAGTACCTCATGTACCTTTCTGGCAATTGGCCAGGGACCTAAAAAACAACTTTGTTGTAGGCAATTATTTGTAAAATGAAATTCTTTGTTAAAAGATTCTACTGTATAGTTTTTTGTTGCACATATTGCGTCTAGTAAAAGACCATAGCTGTTCCTTGTTTTTGTTTGAGTTTTATGTCACGTGACATCTTGCAGAAATGGCCAATTGGTCCTGGAGAGCTCCAATTTATTCATAAGATATTTAGTTGAGAAGGTGTCATTAACAGTATTTTCAATAATGAAAATTCAGAAATTTAATAATTCACAGTATTAAAAATCCTGTATTTTTTGGGATTCTTTTGTCCCCACCGCCAAAAAGGGTGGCTTTCATTTGGCAGTCCCATTAAGAAGGCTGAGGATTTTTTTTTTGGCCATGCGTAGCTTCAGGGTTCCAGACTCCGTACAACTTACCGGGATGTCCAATTGCACACACACCCCATTATACAATTTTAAAAAGTACTGAGTAAATGGAATGAGAAAAATTTCAAAAAATGGCAGCAGAAGGAACACATTTCAGTTTGTTCCATTTTTTAAAAAGGTATCACAGGGGCACTGAGGGCAGGCAATGAAGAAGCACTGCCTCCTTTTACTACTGGAATCACCTCCCATATTTGCCATGAAATCCATTGGATTCTCTATTACTGAACAAAAATGGATGAAAACTCACTATTGAACATTTCTGTGGAAAGATAGCTTGGAGATTGCTGGAAAATGTTCATCAAAACCAAATCAAAATATGAAAAATTGCTTGAGGATTGCTGAGCAATGTTCATTAAAACCTAATCAATAGTGACAGTGATGGAAGGGAATGAGGACTCCATCTCCTTAATGAGCTATTCAACCCTCCTTTAAATATCTATGAGTTGCTTGGAAGTCTAAAAAAAGCCTTCAAGAGAAAAAGACAAAATGAAGGTGCATATGTTGTTTTTGGCTCGTTGTAATCCAAAGATGAGTGCCTAAAGGTACCCTTCTTATCTGCAGTTTACGGACCGAACCCCGATTCCGTTGGACAAAAAGGAATTGAAGTGGAAAGGATACTACCTCATTTCGAGGCATTACAAGTGGGCTTTGCAACAAGTTTTCAACAAATACAATCATTCCGCTGTCATCATTGTAGAAGGTCAGTTTCACTCGAAACTCTTCGTTTTGCCTTTCTGTGATTTTATCGCTGAAATGACCTCTTTCTCAAACTTCCTTCCTCAAGACGATCTGGAAGTTGCGGCGGATTTTTACGATTACTTTTTGGCGACTTACCCCTTGCTTTTGGGGGACAAGTCCTTGTTTTGCGTGTCCGCGTGGAATGACAATGGAAAGAAGAATTTGATTGACGACAACGCTGCAGACCTGTTGTATCGCAGTGACTTTTTTCCTGGTCTGGGATGGATGATGACACGTGATATATGGATGGAGCTGGAAGAGAAATGGCCTCGCGGGTGAGAATTTATTTTTCTGCGTTTTATAGGCTCGATAGTAAGGACTCTCTACAACAAAATTTAGGGGACCAGAAAAAAAAATCGTCGTGGTGAGAATTTTGTTTTTGAAAACCCCTATGGGATGGATTGAGAAGATCGCAGAGTATACCTGTGCATAATTTTTAATTATACAAGTATGAATGATTTGCCTTTCAAATTTCTGAACTGCTCTTTTGAAAACGAGTCATTTTCTTCGGAATGTGTTTCAGGAAACATTTCGATTGAGTTCATTGAAAACTCCCGCATCGAAAACATTTCTGTTTCTTGCCTTTCGTGCTATGTTTCAAGTAAAATTCACGTCGTTTTTTACTTGCTGAGATGACGTCTTTTTTAGAATTGATGAATGCGAGGTTTTGCTCTTCTAGAGATTGATGAATATGCTTGAGGAATTGTCAAAGGTGGCGAGCTGTACATAAAAACTGAGTTCTTTCTTATGCTCCTCATGTAGTCGTTCTGCATTTGTGTTAGCTTTAACAAATATAGTTTGTACCCATTGCTTTTTCAATTTTAATCGTAGTCCTGTTTTGAGAAATCGTCGGGTGCGTTCATCATTGGAGGAACTCTCGGGAATAAAACCTGGGACATGATAAATATATCTCGGGGTTATTGAATTCTGTTTATAATCTATTAATGTAATTATATTGTTTTATATAATTTATTTGGTTCATGTATAATCAATTAGGCCATTTATTCCGTCCATCACGCTCCAATGAAGTGAAAGTGGCAGAATTTATTGCCTGTCAAAATTATGTCGTAATTTAGTCGAGTCATAAACCGTTTTGTCTGCGTCAGGATTCCTCCAGTGTTTGTGAAAAAGAGGATACGAAGTGATGTATAATTGTTCATTCAACTGAGAGCATCTCCCGCTATGCTTTGAATGGTCGAGAACGATGATCTATCTTGTCCAATCAACTTCAAGCATGAAAAAGTTGAACTTTAATTTTTTTAAATACCGATGCAGGTACTGGGACGACTGGATCAGACAGCCGGAACAGAGGAAAGGAAGGGCGTGCATTCGTCCCGAGATCTCACGTACGTGTACTTTCGGAAAGAAAGGAGTTAGCTTGTAAGTATGGAACGAATCATCATGTTGCAAATCTGTCAACACACCTACTCGTTCTTTCAGAGGACAATTTTTCGACAAGCATTTGAAGTTTATCGTGCTCAATTCACATCCTGTGCCTTTTACTCACATGGACCTTTCGTACCTGGTTCGAGTGAGTTTATCTAATTCAGCTTTTCTCCGGCGTGTCCTATGATCAATTGTAACTCATTTTCTTTATTTTTTTTCATCAGGAAAGATATGACAGAGAATTTTTGGACGCGGTTTATCGCTCACCGGTCGTAGATCTGGATTCTTTACGTCACAATAAGTTACCTGAAGGCAACATTCCCGTGAGGATTGTGTACAACAGTCGGCCCGTTTTCAAGCGTATCGCAAAAGCTTTGGGTTTGATGGATGATTTCAAGGTTTGCCGTCTTTTTTGGTTCATTTTGATGGGCTCTGTTTCGATAAGTTGATCGAGTAGTCAACTTGATTTTAGGATTTCAATGTTACTAAGAGTTTGGGTTAGTGTACTGCATTAAATTATCCTGATTTTCGACGCTACGGTCATTTAAACTATTGAAGAAAACCTCCCCCCTTGCAAGAAAACATTTCGTGCACCCTCCGAAGTTTAAATAAGTGTCGGAAAAAAAAGTGGGCGGTGAGAAAGCTTATGAAATCATTTTTCAGGGGTTATCAATGAAAATTATTTATTGGCAATGGTATTTCTATGAGAGTAAGAGCCATAAAATGAGGTACAGTAAAAATCTCGTCACATCACACTTTTGGGAGCTTCAGAAAACATTCGTTATGCTGAATAATTTGTTATGACAAGATTTTATGAATTTTTGAATGAAAAAATTCTCTTCAGACCTGCCTATAATCGATTAAATCTTGCATTTTTGGCATTCTATGATTTTACATCATTGTTTGAAAAACTGAGTCATCTGATGAAAAAAGAAATAGCTTCAACCATGCTTTCCACTAGCTGCACCAATCTGTTCATTCTGGGAGGATGATACTATATTTGGAACCACTTGGAAGCATGTTCTGCACATTTAGGATCATACATTTCATTCAGACTGTACCTGCCTTAGTCAGGAAATATCAAAAGGAAATTTTGTAAAAAATTCTTTAAAGAGTTTGTTATGCAGTATTGGGATAGGTAAGTTTGTTATATCATGCTTTTTTAGCATGTACTGTACTCAATAGGCTTCCTGCTGGGACTTGAGAAAAAGTTTGTTACACTGAAAAAAAATTTTTGTACTGTAATGGTATTTGTTGTTGAGAGATTTTAGTGTACATTATTAACGTATTCAGTTAAAGAAATTAGAAAATTTTTGAGGTTGTGATTCCAAGTGTCCAGAAAATATCATCGTTCATAAATTTATATTCATTTTGGTTTTGCAAGTCCCTCCATCGTTTTACATCCAGGAATATGGTGTTTTCTTTTTTTTTCAGAGTGGCGTGCCTAGGACGGCATACCGCGGTGTGATATCGTTATTCTTCAATAGTCGGAGAGTTTATGTCTCACCTCCACCTTCATGGAGGAGTTACGACCCAGCGTGGACGTGAGATTTCTTGAATGAGGAAAATTTCGATATTTTCTGGGGGCAACAGAAGTTAGTCAAAAGGAGTTTGAGGAAACTGTTGGAATTGCTGTGATTCAGGCGTGTGTATTCTGCTCTTATCAGCATTCCCATTCTGTGTGATTCTTGATCTTCTGGAATATTGTACTCTTGGCGTCACCCTGACAATCACCAGGTTGCTTTTTTGTTGTTGTTTTTATGCGTGGCGGACCCTGGTTTTCCTTGAGCATTTTAATGGGAATGCTTGTTGCGATTCTTGCTTGATTATAATGAGACGACTCGAGTTCAATTCTTGGTGCATCTTTGAATTGTTGTGATTTTGTTGTGCTCTTAGGTATAGGGATATTATTCTGGAATCCCCTTGCCTGAGCTGTGAGGAAATGAATCGTTTTTTGTTCGAGGAATGCTGGTGTGGATCAATTTTCATCAAATTTCCCGAGTTCTGTGGAGTTCATCAACTACAAATTACTGCATTTGCCCGGGTACCGCGCATGGGAAAGGGGGTTTGCGTGTTATATGCTGGTATCTGGGCATTAAATTTTAAAAAACAAAAATGAGAAAATCAGGGGTATTAGTCACATAACTCATAAGGGAGTCTTCAAAGACGAGAATTATGAACATATCCTAGTTGGTACTTATCCGTTTACAATGCCTCATTATCAAGATTATTTAATGATTATCAAGTTGAAAACTATTATTCGAAGAAAAGAATGTTTTTTAGCCAGCAGAAAGTGGGTTGTGCGTCGATTGAAGGTATAGGTATTTATGTAAATTCTATAGCGAAAAGGAGAGGTGTGCAATCTTACTCAAGGGCTCATGGTTCTAAAGTACAATAAATATTATAGTACAGTACCTTATTTACCTAAGAACCAGGTAGACATTTTTTCTCAAAATTGAGAGAAAAAAGGGGTGTGCGTCATGCGCGACGGGTATTCATTTTTTAAATTTTAGGTATGCTGCGTGTGCATTTACTTTGTTCTAAAACTTCTAATGGACCATTTTAGAAGTATTGTACAGTACAGTATCAGCAAAAGTTATTTTAATTGAAATTATTAAAACTTATACTGTAGTTGAAGTTGAGGTCAATTTGTGGGTACTCAAATTTAACTCGTAATTTAACAACATTTCCATTGTAGAGTCATAGAAAATGGGTTGCGGGTCTTGCTCACAGATGCAATTTCTTAAAATTTTAGACTGTAAAACCTATAATGCTTTTTAAAATTTAAAATAGTGTCTTATACCAGGGTGCCTGGACTTGAGCATGAAATTGGTTATTTATTCTTAAGTAAGTATGACTGTAAAAGAGTAAAACGAGTGATATTGCCCATGATGTAAGATTCGGAGTTTTAAAAACATTTTTAAATTTGCCACATTATAAGTGAGAACTTTCCAGTTATATGGCCAGAGTTCTTCACCTGTGTTGCAGGGTGTGGGATGCTTGTGAGGCTGGCAAAAAAATTGAAATTTCATTGCTGTTTCAATCATTATCTTTTCTGAATTTATTTAGACAATAATAGTTGAAACAACAACTAAATTTCACTTTTCAGCTGGTCTGACAAATTTTTAGCGCCCTGTGATATGATGGAGAACTCCGTCCACAACTGGAAAGTTTTCCCTGATCATGCAGCTGAAAATTTAAAATCATTTTTAAACAGCCACGAAAAACCCCAGAACCTTATACAACTGCATATCATAACTGCTGTATTTTTATACAATCATACTTATACAGTACTCTTTACCAGCATAGATATAACCAAGGGCACGCACCATGAGGACAACCCTCATATGTCACTCTCATTTTGTTTATTCACATATATTATGCCATTGGTGTACTTTCCAGGGAACCTTGCGGGCAAATACATTATATATATTCACCAATGAAGTGCTGGAAAAGAATATACAGTACAATAGTAAAATGTTTGAAACCTTTATGTACCCCAATAATACATCAGTTTGTGGATGGTGGGGAAAAAAGCTTTTGCAAGTTCAGAATTCATTTGAACAAAGCCAATAAGCAGCAGTCTATAATAATAAGCATTTTAATAATGTGCGGTTGGAATAAATGCTGATCTTGGCAAAAAAAAGTGGCTTCTGAGTCTCGTTCACGGATCTTGATCCACCATACAGCCCACAACTTCCGCATAAATGCAGGCTTCTTCCTCTTCTCTCTTATTTGCGGCAAAATTCTGGAACTTGTATCCCTTTGGAACCCCTGTTGGCCCACTTGACTGCTGGGAATTGGCGAAATCCAACTGCGCATAAATGAGTTCTCCATCATCTGTCCCAGAAACCCCCGAAGCATCTTCAACACGTGCAGTTGCTGGTTCTGGTTGACGTCTACTGAAGGAAGTTTGCACTTCTTCATACACTGGTTCTGCTTCTTCTGCTGGAGCCGGATCTGGAGTGTGCAGGAAGAAACATCGTCGGGAAGTCTATATTTTCAGTTTAAAGAATTTTCACTGTTCGACCATCTTCAAGTTGACTTTAAAGGGACCTGACTTACAATAAAGGCTTCCAATTATTGGGAGGTTGGGGAAACTATAGGTCTGAAAATGCTTGCGTAAATTTTAAAAGAAGCAAATGCTGGGGCCTACATTTTCGCTTCAACTGCTGTGTGTAATACTGTGTCCAAAAGCATTTCCTTGGTTATTCCCACTACATGAAAAATATAGGTCTGAAAATGCTTGCGTAAATTTTAAAAGAAGCAAATGCTGGGGCCTACATTTTCGCTTCAACTTCTGTGTGTAATACTGTGTCCAAAAGCATTTCCTTGGTTATTCCCACTACATGAAAAACGCTGACTGGAGGAAACTAGCGCAGTATAAATGAATTTTTTACATACAGGATGCGGAGCCTCAAGCCAAAATTTTATGGCCCGATTAAAGTTGCTCATTTTCTAGCTTTCCGAAATCATGAACATTTGAATTTTCTCTCTTTTCCTTGCCTTCACAAATTTTCAGTCGAGGAGGTTTCATGGTTAAAAAATTTGGAGTTGAGGAGGTTCCGAGGTTTAATTGTTTTAAAGTTATTTTGGACAGGGACTAAACAAAATTGAATTAGGAAGGTTTTCGACATATAGGACAGTTTGAATTTTAAGAGGTTCGAATTTTCTAAACATATTAACCCATTATTACGTTTTCAGCAACATATGACAGGTTTATTTGCTGGTGTTCGCTTTTTCAACTGCCGACCGCCTGTTTTGTAAAAAGGTTTCTAAGTGGAAAACGTCCGTTAAATTCAAGTGGCAAATTATCTTACTGTAGAATAAAGTTCATGCTTTCATTCCACCGCTCCATGTTTAATGGAATACCTTTATAAATTCGCAAAAAAACAGTACTGCCCTATACTACTAAAATAATACAGTACTGTAGCGGACTTGAAAATTCCGTGTACTGTAAAATCATCATAGAGTATGCAATTTTTTAGGCGTGACAGAATTCATCAATTAATACGAATTGCAATTAAGAATGTCGAAATTTTCATTTCCTTTAAAAAAATATTATAACAAAACGTGGAAAATTGCATAATTTTACCCAATCTTAATTTTTCGCACCAGTTCTTAGAGGAATTGTTTCAAATACAGTATACTAATACTGTATGTTAATAGCAATTTATATACAGTACTATGACTCCATCATTCCTGAAAAAATAATTTTTTTTCTTTTGGCAGAAACTTCAATACACCTTTTATCGATTGTATCCTGATGACCCCTGAGTTGCATTAAAAGTAAATTAACTACACATCATTGAATAATATAACAGCTTGCGTTTGTGGATTGGGGCACAATGCAAATTTTGGGAAAATATGGGGGAAAAGTAAAATAAGTGAACCTATTTTTCCGCATGGAAGGGTCTGACCCGCAACAAATTAGCATGAACCTTTTATTCATTCAAACTAAGTAGATTTCCGCTGGGATAAAAATACTCTCATCAATTTCATGCAATAAACGTGTTTTTTACACATACGTGGGTGGTAACTTTAAGCTTCAGCTTATACTTCGGGAGCGATTAAAGTAGTAAAAAGAAAACCTTTACTTCTACTTTTTTCGGTCAGGTTTTTGACGCTTCTACATCACAGAGCCAACACTTCCTCCAATGATCGACCCCAATAATGATTCGGCTGTCGGACTCAACCGACTTTTACAGTAGTTGTAAAAGTTATAGTTGCAAATAATTAGAAAGTGGGCAACTTTCAGTAAGGTAATTGCAGTAGAAGACGAATAATGGTACACGACTTTTGTAGTTGTTATGGTATCAGGATATACAGTATTCAATTCCCAAGATTTAAAGCACATATAACAATGAACACGTATTGAGTAAAACAATTTCTTACCGTGTTGGCGATATTTTGATTCATCTCACTCTTGAACTCTTCTGGTTTTAAAACAAAACCTCAGAAAAATAAAGATTCATGGACACGTCCTTCTTGAGACAGAGATTCAGTAAATGTCAAAAATTATTTCTATGATAATTAATAATTCACTAGTGCCAGTTATAACTTCTTTGATCGTTCACTATTCTACCGTTTTCAACTATTTATTATTATACAGTGAATAATTATTACAGCACATACTCTAAAAGTTTCAGAGGTCACGTCCAACGTGGATAACCCCAGCATTTGCTAGTACTGTATTATAGCTGTGGTATCATTGGCACAATTTGCTTGATATTATTCGGAGGTTGAATTACTGTGGGTAAAAATAATAGCATGAGAAAAGTAAATCGAAAATTAAAAGGTCACCTGCCTTGAAATGTTGTCATCCGTGTACAAAGGTTGCGACTCGCAGTCTCACTGGACCAGCGACAGCAAAAAACCTGATCTGTCGTTAATTCTCCTCGCAGTATTTCGATGGAGCTTTCAGCAGTGGTCAAGTAATCCACTTTGACTGAATCGTTTATCATCATATTGCCGGAATAATTCGCAAATGACCTGGTGAAGTATCCCTCATCCCCAGCTTTGGTTGCATTCAGCAGCAGCGAATCTTTTATTTCCATCGTCCCATTTATAGTGGACACGAACCACTCTAGGTCTCCTTTGGGAAAAAATTCGCAAATGACCTGGTGAAGTATCCCTCATCCCCAGCTTTGGTTGCATTCAGCAGCAGCGAATCTTTTATTTCCATCGTCCCATTTATAGTGGACACAAACCACTCTAGGTCTCCTTTGGGAAAAACTCTGTCTGCTCGGCAAGTCAAAGTAATATTTTCATTTCCATCCAAGTCAAGTTGGCAATCTGAAATTTCGTTCCCTCTCAATTGGTTCGTCACTTTATTGCACGTCAGTGTTTCTGCTGAGCGATGATCATGAATAGCGGATATGAAATGCATTCCGGGTGATTCCTGTCGACAGCCATATTTTCCCACAGCGTATTCACTTGAAATTGTGGGGCCATAAATGCCCAAAGG